ATTTTGGGGCTAGGTGAGAAGATTTTCTCCATGGCCAATGCAGCTCCAGCAAGCACAGCCAGGGGAGAGGAGTGCATGCCCCCAGCTGAGGCAGGTCCAGAGTAGTCTGCCCCCTGCTTTCCCAAGCCTGAGTGAACCTAACAAAGGGGAGCAGCCAGCAATGACCCCATACAAATGGGGGGCTTTAGCCCCCCCGCCCTCCCTAAAGGGTGCCTTGGGGAGGGTAGGGGCTGGAGCAGTCATGGAAGGGGAGGGCACCTCCATCCAGCCCCTTTCACCTGCCTTGTGATTGTCTCTTTTTTGTATGGTTTTATGAGAAGTGAATCCATTCCAGGCGCACCCCATTTTCCTGGCATAATCATGCCCCTTATTTTGCTTTAAGTTATAAGCAGAAGCGGCATACCAAATTAAGTAGTCCTGTGTCTTACCACTTAGGAGGAGTTATAGCACAGACAGTCTCATTCACACACAGACACATTCTCTCAAATACAGTAAAACTCCAATAGTCCAGCATCCAGTTGTCTGGCACTCCTGATAGTTCAGCATCAACTAGAACCTGAAATTGCTCAGGTCAGCCACTGTTGCGGCTGGGCCGCTGTGAGCCACATGTGTGCTCACAGCCCACGCCATTCCACTCACAGTCCCCGGCGCATACAGCGTCCTGCCTGCATGTGTCAGCAGTTGGCCGCTGAGCACTGGCATCTGCTTCAGGACCCAAACATAAGATTGGAGGAGACGGCGGATTGGGCGACAGCAGGGAGGGGAGGTGTTTGGCTCTGGGGAAGGGAAGGTGACTGGAGGGGGACTGGGTTACTCATGGCATCCTGGCCAGCTCATTGAAAAGCCGGCCGCTCAGCGCACGTGCCCCAGCGCCTGGAGGGAGACACATGGCTGTACCAGTGGCTCTGGGACCCGAGCATAAGGTAGCGGGGGAGATGGGGTTTGAGAGTATGCCCCCTTATAGTACCTCCTGGTATTCCGACATATCCTAGGTCCCAAAGGTGCCAGATTATCGGAGGTCTGCTGTATATAGTAGATAATTGGCCAAACTTTTCACCAACCTATCACCTAGTTTATGTTGTTTGATTCCACAGTGCTGACAAGATGCTGTGCTTTTTCTTTTGTTTGTCCAATGGTGGATCTTGACTAGAAAGATGTCTGAGAACTTTTTTCAGAATGAGAAGCGTCAGTTCACGATGTGCTCTTGTATCCCAGCTGTTTCGCTATGTACAATTGGCATTGTTTGAGACTCTCATTTGCCAAAGCTGTCTGCATTTCGGCTACAAACTTTCTTTATAGTCAGGTAAAGCCCCACTGTGGGTACGTCTAGACTACAAGCTCTTTCGAAAGATATTGTCTAGACAGCCACATGACTTTCGAAAAAGCGATCCCCTTTTTTGAAAGAGAGCAGGTAATCTGGATGTTCTCTTTCAAAAAAGCCCTGCTTGCGTTCAAGAACACGTTTTTTCGAAAGAGCTCTTTCGAAAAAAGGCGTTCTTCCTTTTAAAATGAGGTTTACCACTGTTGAAAAAACTGCCGCATTCTTTCGATTTAATTTTGAAAGAACGCAGCGGCAGTCTAGATTCAGGTGAAGTTTTTTTAAAAAAAAGGCCAATTTTTTCTAAAAAACCCTGTAGTCTAGACATACCCTATTTGAGATACAGGGTGTCCCTGCTATACATCCAAGATACATTCAAAAAAGCATGGATGTATAGTGAAAGGGTGGAAAGCAGGGAATTTTTTTCTCACGGCTGACTTCTGTTTTTGCAAATTGGCCTTGTTTTTGCATGATGGAAGAATGGAAGGACTTAGAATGGAACAGTTCCCACAAGCGTCAACGACATTAGTGCAGAACTAACGTATACTAGGGCGACTTATAGCGGGGACACCCTGTAACAAGTATCAAACTTCCTTCTTATTGCAGAAAATTAATGCAAAAGGTATCTCAGGCCTATGGAGCCAGGAGCCTATGAGTCCGTCAACCAGTGTTTACTAGTGAGCCATCTATTGCTTTGTCTATACTTCTAACATTATAATGCAGTTGTAGTAGAGCTGCCACGGCAGCAATATAAAGTGAGCATGGCCATGGCAGGAGTGTTGGGAGAGAGCTTTCCCAATGCTGTGTGTAAACGATCTCCAAGGGGAGTTACAGCCCTGTAACTTGCTGCACTGTGGGGGAGGTCACATCCCTGCACCAGAAAGTGGCAGTGCAGGAAAGTGGCAGTGTAGACTTAGCCAAATAGTAATTCTGAAAGGAAAATAGAGGATTTTTGCTGTGTTGTCAGTGTTCTCCCAATAGCTACTAATCATGCATTTGAACCAGTGGTAGTATTGGAGAAAATCTTCAGACATTCTCAGTGCTGAAAGAGCTCCCAGGGATGATTCCATGACCACGCTGCCATAGCTGCACTTTCAGCTCAGCAGTGTAGACACAGCCTTAGCCTTTCTTTACACTGGCAATTGAGCGACAAGCTTTTGATTCACAGGGGCTTAAAAAAAAACTGAACAACAAACACCACTCTGGGAATGGAAGTTTTTTGTTGGCCAGAGTGCCGGCAAACCACAATTACGCTGTCTGACTTTTAGTGATGCAGCTGTGTAATATATGCAAAGCCTTAGGATTTCTGGGGGTTTGGCCCAGTCTTTTAACTTCTCCATTCTTCAGTTTACTCTTCAAAAAGTTTGTGAATATTTTAACCAAATTCACAGGGAGTATTGAAACCTGATTGCTCGTAAAGCACCTTGAAATCTTCAAATGACAAGGCTATTTATAAATGCAAAATACAAAACACTTGAAATGTTACAATTGCATTGTGAGGTTGGTGCTGAACAATTACTGCTTTTTTTTTTTCCCCCCTAATAGATTTTTTTTCCACCTTTGGAATAACTTGCATTTCAAACTCTCCCTCTCCAACCCCCACCCCCGATGGGAATCACTTGCACTCTGCCACTGGAAATCTAAAAAATGACCCTACAGACTAGTGATTTATATGCTCTTCTCATAAATAATAGAACATTGTAATTTTGCCAATCAGACAGAATCATTCACAAGATAATGAAAAAAAATCCATCATGTGACCTTACATGCAGTGGTGCAGTGTCAAACAAGACCATCATATTCTCTGCCATCCACACTGCTTCGCTGACTGTTGCAGGAGGGGAAAAATCGGTGGTGTTGTATGGCAGGTGATTAGTAATTAAAACACAGAGCTGAGAATAAGCAGTTTCGAATTCTATGTCCACATCTGTCCTTAAATTCCTTTGTTACGTCAGGAAAGTTATTGAGCTTTTCTGTGCGTGTTTCTTCCTCTTTAAAATGAGGCTGTTTGCCTTCCTCATGGGCAAGATTTCTCTCTCTCACCATGAGAAGACTTTGGCTACATCTACATTATTGCAGAAAGTCAAAATAAGCTATGGAACTCCAGATACATTAATAATATAGCTGAAGTCAACATATATTAAGTTATGTTACCGTGGGTTCAATCGGAGAGAGAGCTGTACTCAATAGGGCAGGTCTTCACCGGCACCGCTAAATCGATTGCTGGTGGATTGATCTGAGAGCGTTGATCCCAGCAGTAATGTAGATGTATCCACAGTTAGTTGTCCAAAATCACTGAGATTCATAAAGTGAAGAGCAAGGAAAAGATAAATCTTTTAATATCAGCCATGTTGGTTTTCAAGGAAAATCTCTGCTATTTATCTATTGATTTTTTGTTGGTGTACTTTTATCTATCTCCTAAAATAACTCTCCTATGTTTCTCTCTCCTAGATGTGAACGACTAGAAGAGCAGTTGAATGACCTGACAGAACTTCACCAGAATGAGATCCTTAACCTAAAGCAGGAATTGGCCAGCATGGAAGAGAAAATAGCTTATCAGTCCTATGAGCGAGCCCGAGACATCCAGGTTGGTGAGAGGCTGGGACTAGCGGGTTCCTGCTTCCACTTCAGAATATTCAAGCTCACAGTAAAAATGGCTATTTCCCTAGTTTTCCAAAATATTCTTGGTTTTATACATGTGTTTTAAACTAATAGGAGAGTTGTGTATCTTGAGCTTCCAAGAGCATCTTAATCTTCCTTTACCTCTCAACAGCCCTGACTCAAGGTAAGTCATTGTCTATTTGCCAACTATATGTGCATGACTGTTCATGTATCCATGTTAAAAGGAACTTGCCACCTGTCCCATCATGGGATTTTTTTTAAATTAAGGCCCAGTGAGGACATGCTTTCATTCTTTGGTAGTGGCTAATCCAAGTATTTTGCACGTGTATTGGAAGCTAGAGGGCAGAGACACAGGCAAGAGATTTTTATAGAAGCATTCCCAGTAGACTGATCCAGGGCGTGTATCACTAAGTTTAGAGCAATCAGCACAGATGTTGAAAGGAAAACAGTAGCAGGCTTTATTTATCCATTGTGTTCAGTCAGGAAAAAATCCATTCTGCTTTTCTTTCCCAAATAAGGAGGTATTTATATGAGTAGTTTCCTGCATCACATTGAAGTATCTGGAGTCCTGTAGCCTGTGGAAACAGGATTTACATGGTTGGGAGGAGTTTCTGCAGACAAAGGTCAAGTGATCTGGGAAAGTACTTGGGCTTTAACTAAGCCTTATAAAGGCCCATTTAACAACAAACTTAAAGCTACTTTAAATTTGCATCGTTGGATTAAACAGGCTCCTCAGTCTTGACAAGGTATTTTTGGTATGTAAGGAGAATTGTCTGTCCTTTGTACACATGAGACTTACTAGCTGGTTCCACCTGAGACAAAGGCAAGTGATTTCCTTTTGGGTGGCCAGTCAGTTTTGCCTATTGCTTTCAAATTATGTAACCTCTGGGAAGCCCTCAATATTTTGAGCTTCACAGCGATAACAGAGTTTTACGCAATAGCAGAAAATGTAACAAGTAACAATGTCCTTTCTAGAGTAAAGCTAAAATAAATAAATGTCTGGAGATAGTGGCACCACAGCCTTTACCCTATCAAATATCAGAATGTCACTTATAGGTGTGTCTCAGGGCCCATGCTGTAAACCTCTCAACCTCACACAGGCAGTAGGACAGAAAACTTAAATGAGGTGGGATTCATCAGTAGCCTCTCCTGAGTTTCTATTTAATGTCAGCATTTTTAATGTAAATTTTCCATGGTGTTGAGATACTTTGCAAAAAAAAAAAAAAAAAATCCTCAGCACTTCTGAGAGAGGTAAATATTAGCTCTTTTTTCAGCTGAGGAAACTAAGTTAAATAACTTGCCTGAAGCAACAAATGAAACTATAATTCAGGAATTCCTGGATCTCAGTCCTCTGATCAGTCCATTGGATCAGCAGTTCCCAACCGCCGGTTTGTGGACCAGTAGCGGGCCATGAACTGCTGATTGCCGGGCCATGCCCTGCTGCAAGGCCACGCCCCGCTGCCTTGGCCTTGCCCGCTGGAGAAGTGAGTGGCAGTCCCAGGGGTCTGTGTTGGACCTCTGGGTACATGCAGGAACAAGCAGTGCAGGGCGCAGGGAATTGTGGGAGTGGGGCGTGTGTCTCATGCCTTGCCGCCCCAGGGAAGGCACTCCCCAACCAAAGCACAGGCTGCTAGAGCAGCAGCGCTATCCAGCCCTAGAACACATGTGGGGGACAGGATAGGCCCCTAAGCTGAGGCATCTTGGTGTCCCGTGGCTGCAGCTCATGCGGAGAGCTATGAGGCAAGAGGGAGTGGTGGTAGCGGTAGTGCCTCCACCTGTGGGGGAGGGATGGGCGATGGGCGAGAGCACCAGCCCCTTCAGTGAGCCTGGCGAGCTCGGGCATCCACAGCAACAAGCTACTCTTCTGCTTCCCCTTCCGGTTGGACTCAGAGCACCCAACCACCCAGGCCAGTAAGTGGCAGTGCAAGGCCACATGCCAGGCACCATAGTTCTCTCTAAGCTGTGCGCTTGTGCACGCAGAAGAAATTTATGCCCCGCCCACCTCCTAAGGAGAGCCACGCAGCAGTGTGGTGGGAAGCACGCTTGGGCTGCCAGGGCCAGAGGAACCACGTGGCTGGCGGGCAAGCTGGCAGCTGCTTCGGTGGGATAGAGGAACTGCATGGCTGGCTGGTGGGTGGCTGCTCTGGCTGAAGGAACCACGTGACCAGTTGGCAGCAAAATAACACATGACAGCTTAAAATGAATTGCCATAATGAATATGCAAATGTACATACTCATTACCATAAATAATGAATATGCATATGTGCCTGCCAGTCCACCAAAAGTTTTTTAATGAGTTCACCGGTCTGCGGTATAAATAAATTTGGGAATCATTGCGCTAGGCAGTGCTGCATTCTTCAACATGCAAGATCTAGGTAGGATGGTGATATGACACACAGTTGGGAGAGATGATTCAGTTGGCTGATTGGGAAATAAATGTACAACTTCTCGGAGTATAGAAATCTTATTTTAAAAATAATGAAGTAGTAATTAGAACCTGTTTCACCTTGGACTCTGGCCTAATGGTTGCTCTGTAATCTGCAGCACATTGTAGGATACCTGAGTTCAGATACATTGTAGTGGAAATAAGATGGCTCAAAAGTGACCCCCTATTAAGCCAATTAAGGAGGCTCTCTGAGTGTAGCACAGTTCAAATGAGAGATTCATCAGGGTTGTGGTTGGATTTGCAGGCCAGGGAGGGAAAAAAGTATTTGAGAAGATATCTTAGAAAATTTTTGTAAAAGACGACAGTTTAATATCCCTGGACATTAAAGTTCTCTGACCCCAAAACAGGCATAGTGAAGGCAGAAGTAATGTAAGAGTCCCTTATGTGAAGGTATTTACCTCTTATGAACAAGAGGGGATGATTCAATTTCCATGACCCATTCAATCCTACATATCTCTTCTGAGATTGCCAACAAAAGTAATACAATGAGCGTCACACATTGAAAAACTCCTATCTCTCTAAGCAGAATCTGGTTTTGATTCCAAAATGTCTGATAGCACTGAAGAGGTGGAAAATATTTTTGGTCCTTGTGTGCCTCTGTTAATGCCCTGGCTGATTTTCCCCTGGTGAGCAGTCTCTAGGCTGGGCTATTAGACCCAACCCACACAGGCTGTCTGGTTCATAGTTGAAGTCTTTGGGAACTAGGTGATAGATACAGGAAAAACCAGACCGGCTTTGCAAAGTTGCTTCTTAAACACCCACATACATCACTGTTAGGAGATACAAGTGATCTACAGATCTGCAGAAGGATAATAAACATCCAGGCCCAAGCCCCTCCCTCCAGTGTCCTTGCCATTCCTGAATATCATTTGTATTTTGATCAGTGTCCTAAAGGGGTCCAAATCTCTCCTAGCCAGCTTTCCTCGTTCTAGCAGCTGTGGCCCCATTTGTTAGAGAAGGTCTTTTTTTTAACCATTTGGTGGTTCTAGTATGTTTGTCCCGTCTCCCACTCTTCTGTGGGATTGCTTACAGAAGTTCATTAACAGTCACCATCCTGGTAAAGGAAAATGATTCAATTGTTGCTAGCCTTCTTGTTCAGGGATAGACCCCTAAGTGCCAGGCTCCTCCAACACAGGAAGGATGATGCAGACGAACAAGAGTTTCAGTATACAGATAAACACAGTTAACACTCCAAAGGGAGGCTGAAATAAAACATGTATTTCCCCCCCACACAAAATCAATCTGGGGAAACAGATTCCCAGACCTGTCTCTCACAGCAACATCACTGTAAATCAACAATTAAGTCCACTACAGTCAATGGAATAACACTCATAGATGAGATCAGAATCAGGTATTTTGCTGCAACCTGCATTTCCTACTTAATAAGGGACTCAAATCATGAGAAGTAGCCCGGGGTTCCTCTTCTCCTGCTGCAGGATATGAAATCAGTATGACTGACTCATATCCTGCAGCCGATGAACAGGACCCAAAGAATGTTGGCACATTACAGTAGGCACCAATTAAAGTCTTTAAGTACCACCATGATTCAACATGCGAACACTGAAAACAGCACTCTTCCTTTCTTCCCAACAGGAGGCGCTAGAAGCCTGTCAGACCCGGATCTCCAAGATGGAACTTCAGCAGCAACAGCAACAGGTGGTACAGCTGGAAGGTCTGGAAAATGCCACTGCCAGAAACCTGCTGGGTAAATTCATCAACATCCTTCTGGCCGTCATGGCTGTTCTCCTAGTCTTCGTCTCTACTATGGCCAACTGCATTGTGCCCCTCATGAAAACTCGCAACAGGACGTTTAGCACTTTATTTGTGGTTGTTTTCATTGCCTTTATGTGGAAGCACTGGGACGCCATCGCTGTCTACTTGGAACGATTCTTGTCACCCCCCAGATGATGGCGCAAGGAATCAGCTGTGTTGCCCGACTGCCCCACCCACCCTGGCGCTCACTGGCAAGTGAGCAAAGCAAAGATGAGTCAGCAGCTCTTCCGCTGAAATTTTCAAGTGTCCGAGTGAATTTGTTTACACTTAGAATAACATTTTTCTCTGCGAGATGCATTGCAATAGTATTTTTTAGATTTTATTCAAGAACTCTTTTTGGCAAGAATCCTGGATAATTTTTATGTAGCATGGTTCTCTTTGGATGCAAATCTTAAGATTCTTTAAGTGTACAAAAGAATAAAACAAAAATTTGGAGCACACCAATGGGCAATTTAAATTATGGCTTGAATTACAATACTAAACCTGTTAGGAAGAGGAGAACATGGTTAGCTTAGCTTAAAAATAGCAAAGATTAAATATTGTACAATGGTACCACAGCAAAGCTGTAACGCTAACCTTTACTGTGAAGCCTGCTCACATTCCATGTCCGAATGTATGGATTCAGCGTGGCTTGTTTTTTTCCTTAAAGAGAGAAAAAACAGCGCATGGATCTCCCGCAACTCAGCTTCTGGGTCGCCATTTGTGCTGACCTGGCATACAATAATTTTCTAGAAGGTCTGTTAAGTCTTGCTAAGCATACAAAGTGTAAGCGTCATGCTGTACACAGTAACTGCACAGTTGTACTACAGTATTTTGAAGTAGCCCTTTAAACTTATCTTTAAGCAAAAGCCCTTGGTCGCACTTTTAAGGTTTTTTTTTATGTGTGTATATTCACAGATTTAAAAAAAAGTCCGAACAGCATACTTGAAGAGTGTAATACTCAAACTCTCAGTGCTTCCTTATTGTTCCTATAATAGGATTTTTTATTATAATTATTATTATTATTGGGGTTTTTTTTGGAAGGGATTGGGAGGGTCGTTATTTTCCTCTTTAATAAAGAAGTGATGTTTTTAAATGAAGAATTGCGTGAATAATTAAGTGTGAGCAGTCTTGTCCTGAAACAGTTTTGAGGAGGGCGGAAAGTAATTTCTATTGACACAGGTTTGAGGAAGGCATAGCTATTCCCATGCCATTTAACTGTCCTCCTGGGCTTACAGATGCAGCATCATGAATAATTCCTCCTTCTCCACGCATTTTCGTCATGCAATTTTTTTTCCTGTTCTTTTTTTTGTGGGTGTGACGGGAGGCATGGAGTGTTCTCTATCTCATTCCCAAATCTGTCCACCTGGTCTCAGAATGTTTTCCTTCAAACAAGGATTTTTTTTCATCCCTTTTTAGTCTTAAAGAGAGAATAAATATTAAAGGCATAGTTTGTTCAAAAGACTGATCCTCTCATAAATATCCCTGATAACTTATTTTTAAATGCACCTCTGATAACTGAAACCAAAGTTGTCATCCCATCAGACTATGGTAAGCTCATTGTCTTTGTTTAGAACTTTTGTATGTGCTGTGTATCTATGTAGTGTGCCACATAGAGCCCCCTTCCTGCAGCTGTGAAGGCAAGGACTTAGTACAGTTCCATTGTCAAAGCACTAGAAGAAATGTCATTTATAAGTGTGACTCCAGTCACAGCAACATCTTTTCCCAGTAATCTATAGTTGCTGGCAGGTTTCATATTGAAGGATTTGTTTAAAAAATCTGGCTCAGTATCTGTTTCCACTAGAACAAAGTAAAGATTTTTGTTTGTGAAATTCTTTGTAGCAGAAATAAGACTTATGGATTCTCTTTCACATGATTTGCAGTATTTAATTAGGCTTCTTGTTCTCCTTCCCCTTTGGCTTAAGTTCCATTTAGGAACCAAATAATGGCCAAGTGATGTAAAATGATATGTAATAGCAAGTATAGGAATTTATGCTATTTTGTATGCCCCACACCATAGGGAATTCTCCAGATCTAGGTTAGCCCCTCCCTTTCAGCTAGGAAAAAGGTCTTAATATTCTGATCACCACCAGCCAGGAGAGGAAAGACCTCTGCTGCCCATTCATTCTAGTTCCTTCTTCCACATTTCTGTCTTTAAACTCAGGTACCCTGTGACAATTCCAGCACACCTCACTTTGTCACTGTGCACTAATCCACTACTGTCCTTGCTAAACATACATTGCCAGTTGCAGCTGACTCAAGCCAAAAATAATCATTCCTGTTTGTTCGAGAGTTGCAGATAGTGTGCATGTATGTGTAAACAGTCCCCTTAACAGATGACAGTTGCCCGCCACAGCAAAACTCTATTGGGTTTAATGCCCTTGTCTGACTAAATCACGTATATAATTTTCACCCATCCATATGAAAGTACTCTTTTCCTGTTAGGTTTCCTCAAACAAAGGAAGAGAGATCAAAATAATAAACCTTTGACGCTCAATCTAAGAGCTTTGTTGCCTCACTATTTCTGTAGCCCAGACTTTGCACCTCTTTATAGTATAGATCGCACTGTAAAAGTTTACAGGTGGCTTAGTACATGAACAAACTTGGGAATGAATTAAAAGCCAACCAATTTTTACACTCATTCATAGCACATCTTGGTAATGTCTGAAGGATGCATTTGCCCTTTTTTGCAAGGTACCATACTTTCAGTTAGTCTTTGGATGTTTAATCTTTAGTAAAGAAGACCTGCAATTTGCCAGAAGGAATGACTTACCAGAAATGTTCACCCCAAAACTGTTTTGTGAAGGCCATTTACTTGGTCCTGGACAATATTGTCTGTCTGTCTGTCTCCATTCCAAAAATTTGTCTACTGTTAATGCCATATATGATGCTGCATCCATTTTTTTAAACTAATCTAACAGGACCATCACGAGGTTTTTTGCCTTTCATTAGCAGAATGTTTGCTTTATTTCCTCCCCCTTCAATCTGAAGTTCTGTGATGACTTCTAATAGTTTAACAATAATCATATTGTTGGAAATGTGATTCTAGCTTTAAAGCTCCTTTCCTTTGTATGTGGGTTGTGCTTATTCTCTTTAAGATGAAGCATTCCTGGATGACTTGTAGAAGACAGTATCTGCCATGGGTGTGTGTGCATGGGAACCTTTTATTCTCCTTCCCTAGTATGTAAACTTGTGTGACTATCTCTGAGTTGCAGAACATTTCATGTTAGGAGTTGAAACAATTCTGAAATTTCTTAGATATGTTTAGCACATATCACTGGCGCATATAAGGAAGGAAAGAATGTAATGGACTGCATTAGTTAAAAAAAGTGACTGTTAATTGCTGTTCCATGGTTTAAATGAAGTTTGCCTGCCCCCCCCCC